CATCCTGTTCCACTAAAGGGAGGAGAAAAAAACTCCGAAACATTTGTGAAGTTCACTGTTCAGAAGCACAGGCTCACTAAAAGACTGAGACCTAATCTTAGGACTATAGAATGCTTCTCCTCCCTCCACACCTCATCACCTTATTATTAAGGGCCTATTGATAGCAATTCCTTTTACCTGGTACATCATGTCTTGCTACCAAGAAAAAATTACAAGGCACATGAAAAGACAAAAACAATTCGAAGAGACAGAGCAAGCATCAGAACCAGACATGGCAGAGATGTTGGAATTATGAGACCAGGAATTTAAAGCAACTAAGGGTTCTAATGGGGCTATCCAAGGAGTGTGGGACAACTAAAAAAGGTGTAACATATGTTTAATGGGGATACCAGAAGGAGAAGAAAGAGAGAAAGAAACATAAGAAACAATAATGACTGAGAATTTCTACAAATTAATGTCAGACACAAAACCGCAGATCCAGGAATCTCAGGGAGCACCAAGCAGGATAAATGTAAAACAAACAAACAAATGAAAAACCCCTATCCCTAGGCACCTCATTTTCAAAGTACAGAAAATAAAAGATAAAGAAAAAAATCCTGAAATAAGCCACAGGGAAAAAACACATTACCTAGAGAGAAACAAGATAAGAATTATATCCAACTTCTTCTCAGAAACCATAGAAGCAAGAAGAGAGTAGAGTGAAATATTTAAAGTGTTGAGAGGAACCAACACTAAAATTGTTGACCCATGAAACCACCAACCTAGAATGGTGAGCTATGAAAGCCTGTGAAATTATCCTTCAAAAGCGAAGGAGAAATAAATAGGTTCTCAGACAAACAAAAATTGAGGGAATTTGTTGCCAGCAGACTTGCCGTGCCAGAAATGTTAAAAGTTCTTTACAGAGAAGGAAAATAATGTAGGTGAGAAACTCAGATCTGCATGAAGGAAGGAAGAGCGTCAAAGGAGGAATAAATGAAGGTCAAATGAAAACTTGTATTTTTCTGAATTGATCTAACAGATGACAGTTTGTTCAAAATAATAATAGTAACACTGTATTCAAATATGTTTGCTTATGTAAATGTTTTATGTACATATGTGTGCTTATGTATGCTTATATATAAGTGAAATGATTGACAACAATGATACAAGGGACAGGAGGAAGGAATTAGGAATATTTTGTTATGATAAGTACTTGAACTATTCACAAAGTGGTTTTCTGAAAGTGCACTTGGATTAGTTGTAAATGTATTTTTCAAACTCTAGGGCAACCACTAAAAAAGTAAAAAACAGAAGTATAATTAACATGCTAGGAAAGGAGAGAAAATGGAATCATATAAAATGCTCAATTAAAACCACAAAAGGTATAAAAAGAGTGAAAGACAAAAATAGGAATAAGGAATAGGGCAACAATAGAAAACAGTAACAAATATGGCAGATGTTAATTCAACTATATCAATAATCACTTTGAACATCAGTGGTCTAAATACACTAATTAAAAGACAGAGATCGTCAGTGGATCAAAAACAAGACCCAACTATACTTTGTCTACAAGAAACTCACTTTAAATATAAAGACATATATAGATGAAAAATAAATGGATGGTGAAAAATATACTATGCTAACATCAATAAAAATAAAGCAGTAATAGCTATATTAGTTTCAGACAGAGCAGACTTCAAAGTAGGGAAAGTTATCAGGGATAAACAAGAGCACTAAATAATAATGATGATCAAGGGGTCAATTCTCCAAGAAGATATGATAATCCTTAACATGTATGTGCCTAACAACAGAGCGTCAAACTATGTGAGGCAAAAACTGATAGAATTGTAGGGAGAAATAGAGGAATCCACTATCACAGTTGGAGACTTTAACACCTCTCTATCAGAAATGGACAGATCCATCAGGCAGAAAATCAGTAAGGGCACAGATGAACTCAACAACGTATCAATCAGCTGGATGTAATCAACATCTATTAAATGACTTTATTCAACAAGAGCAGAACACACAATCTTCTCAAGCTCACATGGAACATTGACCAAGATAGACCACATTCTGGCCATAAAACACACTTTGCAAATTTAAAAGAATAGCAATCATAGAATGTTTGCTCTCAGACCACAGTGGAATTTAACTAGAAATCAATAACAGAAAGATAATTGGAAAATACCCCAAATACTTGGAGATTAAACCACACACTCTAAATAACATAAAGGTGAAAGAAGACATCTTAAGAGAAATTTAAAAATATTTTGAACTAAATGAAAATGAAAACACAGCTTATCAAAATTTGTGGGATGCAGCAAAAGTAGTGCTGAGGGGCAAGTTTATAGCATTGAATGTCTATATCAGAAAAGAAGAAAGCTGTAAAATCAATCTAGTATTCACCTTAGTAAACTAGAAAAAAAAAAAAAGAGCAAATTAAATCCAAAGTAAGCAGAAGAAAAGATGCAAGATACAAGTAGGTGAATGGATAAACAGTATATACAAAAGTTGATCACTTTCCTATACACCAGCAGTGAAAAAGTAGAATTTTAAATTAGATTAATTGCAATCCCAATCAAAATCCCAGCAAGTTACTTTGTGGATATCAACAAAATGATTCTAAAGTTTGGATAAGGAGGCAAGAGAGCCAGAATAGCCAACACAATATTGAAGGAGCAGAACAAAGTTGGAGGACCGACACTATGTGACTTCAATACTTATAATAAAACTACAGCAATTCAGATAATGTGGTATTGGTGAAAGAATAGACAAGTGGATCAAAGGAACAGAATAGAGAGCCCAGAAATAGATCCAGATAAATATAAGCAACTTATCTTTGACAAAAGAACAAAAGCAATATAATGGAGAAAAGACAATCTTTTCAACAAATGCTGATCAAACAACAGGACATCCACATGCCAAAAAAAAGAATCTAGACATAGATCTTATACCCTTCATAAAAGTAACTCAAAATGGATCACAGACCTAAATGTAAAATGCGAAATTGTAAAACTCCCAGAAGACAACATAGGAAAAAACCTAGACGACCTTGGGTATGGCAAGGACTTTTTAGATACAACACCAAAAGCATGAACCATAAAAGAAATAATTGATAAGGCAGACTTTACTAAAATTAAAAACTTCTGCTCTGCGAAAAGCAACGTCAAGAGAATAAGAAGTCACAGACTGAAAGAAAATATTTGCAAAGGACACATCTGATAAAGGACTGTTATACAAAATATACAAAGAACTTTAAAACTTAACAAGAAACAAAAAACCGAATTAAAAAATGAGCTAAAAATTTTAACAAACACCTCACCAAAGAAGATATACAGATGGCAAATAAGCATATGAAGAGATGCGCCACATCGTATGTTATCATGGAAACACAAATTAAAACAACAATTAGATGCCAATACACACACATTAGAATGGCCTAAATCCAGAACAATGACACCCCCAAATGCTGGTGAGGCTGTGGAGTAACAGGAATTCTCATTCATTGCCAGTGGGAATGCAAAACAGTACAGCCACTCTGGAAAACATTTGGGCAGTTTCTTACAAAACTAAACATATTTTTACCATACCATCTAGCAATCGTGCTCCTCGGGATTTAGCCAAAGAAGCTGAAAACATGTCCACACAAATACCTCCACATTGATATTGATAGCAGCTTTGTTCATAACTGCCAAAACTTGGAAGAAACCAAGACGTCCTTAACAGGTGAATGGATAAACAGTGTTACATTCAGACATGAAATATGATCCAGCGCTAAGAAGAAATGAACTATCAAGTCATGAAAAGACATGGAGTAACCTTATATGCATGCTACTAAGTGAAGGACGCCAATCTGAAAAGGTTACATACTGTATGATTCCAAATACCTGACATACTGGAAAAGGCAAAACTATGGAGACAGTAAAAAGATCAGAGGTTGCGGGGCTGGCCCCTTGGCCAAGTGGTTAAGTTTGCGTGCTCCGCTGCAGGTGGCCCAGTGTTTCGTTGGTTCGAATCCTGGCCGCGGACATGGCACCACTTGTCAAGCCATGCTGAGGCAGCGTCCCACATGCCACACCTAGAAGGACCCACAGTGAAGAATATACAACTATGTACCGGGGGGCTTTGGGGAGAAAAAGGAAAAAAATAAAATCTTTAAAAAAAAAAAAAAAGATCAGAGGTTGCTACGGGCTAGGAAGGGAGAGAGATGAATAGGTAGAACAGAGGCTTTGTAGGGCAGCAAAAATACTCTGATGGTATGCTGATGGTTACATGTCATTATACACTTGTCCAAACCTAGAGAATGTGCAACACCAAAAGTGAGCTGTAATGTAAACTATGGACTTTGGGTGATTACGACGTGTCAATGTAGGTTGACTGATTGTGACAAATGTACCACTCTGGAGGGGATGTTGATAATGGGAAGGCTCTGCATGTGTGGAGACAGGAGGTATACAGGAAATCTCTGTTCTTTCCTCTTAATTTTGCTGTGAACCTAAAACTGCTCTAAAAAATAAAATCTCTTAAAAAAAAAGAGTATTTGGAAGGTTAACTATTTTTTTTCTTTTGATGAGGGGACAGGACATCAAGGATTATTTTGTAGCTGAATTAAAATTTAAGAAAATTGACGATGACTGAAACGCAGTCCCTATTTTAGGCTTGCTTCAGAAAAACCGCATAGAGAAAGCCAGAGGACAAGGAAAACTGAATTATTCTGACAAATTTTTCTAAATTACAGATTCATAATTTAATGTCTCCTTCACTGTTATCAGTATATTTTTCTTTTGAGAAAACGTATATCATGAAAAAAATGTACCCCTCCCTCAAAAGCCAGAATGTTTACTGCAGGTTAACCTTTAGTGATAGTTTCATCTTACCTGTCTGACTCTTACTTTTCCGTTGGTCAGATTCTAAAGGGAAATAAGTGACGTGTGTCTAATTTGTTGGTATAGCCTGGGAGTGTAAGAAATTTTATTTTAACACTGGGTTTAATCCGGGTTTTCTTCCTTCATTTCATGCAGGACTATTACCTCATATAAGCAGCTCCTTTAAAGAGCCATTTGATGTCAAGCACGGAGTGGTGAGTCCAACATTGCTCAGCAATCATTTACACGTAAAGAGCTTAAACGACTGCACACTGCATATTATCATAAAAAACAGACTAAAGGGGGTTAGAGTTACTGTTCAATAATATTCACTCATCAAACATTCATTTCTGAGTGCCTATGTGTGTACCTTTCTTTTAGGTGATCGGGATACAAAAATAAACAACCAAGATTATAAATTGTGAACTGCTGATGCTGTGCTTTTTTCCTCTTTCCTCTTTCCCATGGGTGACAATAATATATATAATATATTGACAGTTAAAAACAAAAACAGCTTTCCTCTGATTGTAAACTTTCAAATAATACAGAGAAATAGAGATAAAAGAGAAACTCATCTGAAATCCTTCCCCAGTCCCCAGGGATAATCACCATTAACCTTTTTTGTGAACTTCCTTAGAAATGTCTCTCTATACTTATGCATACATAAAGATGCACACACACACAGAGTATATTGATGGGATCCATTGTCCTCTGTAATCTGCATTAATCACTTCATATTTTCATGGACATCCTTTGGTGTTAGCATAATTATTTACCATCATTTTAATGGATACATAATATTCTATTGACTGGATATATCACAATTTAAAAATATCTCATTTCTAGGCATTTAGTTTTTCAAATTTGCAACTATTATAAACAATGCTGTGAGGAGTAAATTTGAATATAAATTTTTGCAATTGTACAATCATCTCCTGAGGGTACTTCCCATAAATAGAATTCTTGGGACAGAAGGTACGCTTATTTTAAATTTTGATATACAGCCAAATTGCCTTCCAGAAAATTGGCCTCATGCACCAACAGTCCACAAGAGTGCCTTTTCTCCTATATCTTCTCTAACACTGGCTTAAAAAATAATCTTAATATTTTCCAATTTGATAGATGAAGATATTTCAATTTTATTTTAATTTTCATTTCATTGATTATCAGTGAGGTTGAGCATCTTCTGTTTATTAGTTGTTCATAGCTCTTTTGTGAATTATACAGTCATGCACCACATAACGATGTTTTGGTGAATGATACACTGCATATACGATGGTGGTCCCATAAGATTAATACCATATAGCCTAGGTGTGGAGTAGGCTATGCCATCTAGGTTTGTGTAAGTACACTCTATGATGTTTGCATGACAACGAAATTGCCTAATGACATATTTCTCAGAATGCATACCCCTCATTAAACTATGCATGACCATAGTCAATTCTCACTATTCAAGGTAGTTACGTTTCCTAAAGTCTCCACTAACACTGAATTAATGATTACTACACCATTGATCCTAGGGGAAATGTAGGGTCAGGTTCCTGTGAGCCTCTGGTCATTTTCCTCAATGTTTTCATCAACTGATCAATACATAAATTTGTTTTATGCATGTTTCTATTTAAAGATACCTTATTTAATATATATTGTTGATTAATCAACATGGAACTTACAGCCAACAGCACTATAATTTATGCCTAAAGAAAGTTTATCTAACAAAGGTATTTTCTCCATAAGGCACATCACAGTCTTCTCGTAGTTAGGAACACAAGATAGCATTTCAGCCTGCACTTGGGGGCCATTTTTTTTCCTGAGGAAGATTAGCCCTGAGCTAACATTTGTACCAATTTTCCTCTATTTTTGTATGTGGATCGCCACCACAACATGGCTGATGAGTGGTGTAGGTCCATGCTCAGGAACTGAACCCAACAACTCGGGCCACTGAAGCAGAGTGCACTGAACTTTAACCATTATGCCAAGGGACCAGCCCCTTGGGGGCCATTGTCAACAGTGAAATCACTAACAAAAAAGCATAAAAATGCAGAAAATGTGGCACTATATAGGCTGCAAAAAGGACATTTGTTTATATATGACAGCTGAAACAAGAAGGCAAAGTATCCTCTTGTTCAACCTTGACTAAGACCACGCAGGTCCGGTGACTCAAATTGTTCACCACTCTGCCTGTGCCCTTGAATGACCTCAAAAGTGCTGTGAGTATTGACTTAGGGGTTACAAATAAATTTTAGCGAGTCAGAAAATTTGCAATTATGGAATCCATGGAAAATGAGGATTGACTGTACTTATTTCTTTTGCCTATTTTTCTTTTAGCTTTTTCTTATTGATTTATGGAAGCTATTTGCATATTAGGATAGCGTTCTCATTTTATAAATATTTTCCCCAATTTTGTCTTTCCATTTTGGTGTATCTGTTATTACAGTGGCTTTTGATGGCAGTATCAAAGTGCCTTTTCAATGGGGAGGACCACACTGGAAAAGGAATTTTATTAAATTTCTGTTGCTGTGAAAATGGTTAGAATTTATTTTTCCCTCTCTTTTTCATAGGCACACCAAATTCTGTTTGGTGATTTTTCTCCAGCATCTCCAAATTACAAAAAATCATGTAAGTCTTATCCTAAACTACTACTTTATATCTATATTCTGCCTTTATTTTAATTATGATCCTCATCTGATATTTTCACCCCTTCCAGAGTCTGAGGCCATTTAAGGCCTTTTGCATTTCTGCCTCCTTCCTCCTGTCACACACCTTGTCACTTCATTATAAATACTCTCCTAATAATAAGAACGGTAGCATGTAGAAATAAAAGGAGAGAGAAATCCCACAGAGACTTTTGTGGAGCAGCAGCTCTGAAAAAGAGTGTGCATGTGAGAAAGTTCTGGTGGTGGCAGAAGATAGGGGGGCATGTGGCATGTATGTGAGAGTTTGGAACTATTGATTAAAAATGGTTTAGGAATATCAGTACATTTCATTTATTCATACTATGGCAGACTCTGCCACAATCACTTACACATTGGCTGTCTGTCTCTTCACACTAGATGTCAGAATTAAAAAGCCAGCATATGAGAACTTGATGAACTACAATCGACAAAAGAAACACTTCCTGAAGCGTGTAAGAATCCTTCTACTTGTCGCCCAACAGTGGATCCCTGGGGTAGTGTCAGTAAGTGCGCAATGAGGCAGTGAGGGTGGTGGCGTGTGTATGTTTAGAGTTGGTGTGAAGATAATCCCTAACTTACAAGCAAGTGACAAACAGAAAAGGAGACTATTCTGATAATCAGCCTTCCTCAAAGCATCGTGAACATCTCTTGTATAGATCTCTCCAGTTGTTTTGGAAACAAGCCTCAAAGAGGCTTACGGGGATAATTGCTCTGGTACTGTCCAAATTTTCATCACTATCAGTGATTTGCTGGATTCTGCCTCTTGCAAAAAAACTCAGTAAGGTCTCAGAGTGTCCTTCTCTTCTGGGGACCCACCCTTCCCAGGCCCACTCTCTTCATGTGCCTGTTCGGCCACCCAACACCTCCTGTCCCTGCTCCCTGACGTGGCCCAGAGAAGCAGCTCTGTCTTGGCTGATCAGACTTTCGCAAACCCAGTCATTTTTAACAGGATGTTAAAATGGGATTCTTTTCATGTCTTAAGAGTTCCAAAAAAGTTACAATTATTTTTGCTATCCTATTACTTTTGTTTATTAAAATGCCTCTTTAAATTGACTTACAAAAACCCCTCAGCCTCACCCTAAGTAATTATATTTGCGACGCCATGGGTTTGGTATGCTAGTTATGTGTATTAGAAAAAAACCCTGGCCATTGAAATAAAATATGTTATTCAAGTACCACCTAATATTATCACAAGAACCACCAGTCGTATATACACACCACTTTGGAAAATTCTAGTCTTTGGGCACCAACTAGCTAATGTGATAGATTTAGCTAACGGGACAGTGTTGGACTGACCACCTCGGTTCCCAGGTCACTAGTCTACTTAGTCCTGACCTTCCAGAAATGGTGCATTTTTCTTGATTTTTCTGCTTTAGGACCTGATAACTTTCCTGGAGAGCATTTCAAGCACAGGAAGGCAGGGCCGTGGCAAGCTGTGCGGGGAGTTATTTGGGAGCATTTGAAGCTCGGCAGTCTACGCAAAGTTATTTTGTGCGGGCAGGCCAGGGACATCCCTTCACTGTAGGGTTGCAGCATGCTTCTAGGAAGGGTGGATGATTTCCTGAAAGTATATTTACTGCTAGCTGGGCTCCTGGGAGTTGCTTGGGAGAATCGTTAACTATTGTTAAATAAATAAACCCCTCTTGCTGCACGGAGTTGTACTGGTGCCAAGCAATTCCACTGCCCGTGTCTGCCGCTGTTCTGGGGAACAGTTGCCTTTCTCTTTGAGGTGCTTCCCCGACCCCCTCCCCTAAAGTGAATTTTCTAGACTCACAGTAGCCTCTTTTAAGTCAACAAATCCCAACAAATTAGTGCAATTACATCCTGCTCTTGTTTTTATGTGCAACAATAGGCTAATAGCGCACACCCCCTCCACACACACAATTAATATGGGGCACTCGTTTGGGAAACCCTGGGCCTAGAGTTCTAACCAAAAAATAAATCCAGACTTTTAATTTACTAGACAAGGCAAAAGCTTAATTTTTTTATAGGCACTATATTTTGGGAGGAGAACAAGCATTGAGAGGTAACATGTACAAATTCCTGCCTCAGCAACAAGTAGAGATCGAATGAAATTTCCAGCAACAAGTAAGGACTGAATGAATTTTCAAGCATCATTAACAATATTCTCACTGTTAAAAGTATTTGCTCCGTGTCTAATGCCTTTGGTAACCATGTTCTAAATATTTGTACTTCTGGGTCCCATCTTAAAGAAGTTCATGATGTCAGACTTAAAAGCAGAGAAATTCACACCTAGGAATGTAGTCCAGGACTGTCCAGGCTAAAGGATGGTAGGGAAGACAAGGAGAAAAGAATCTTACCGCTAATGGACGATTAAGGGGCAGTAGAGAAGCAGTGGGTGGTTCGGCTAGTGATTCCAAGAGTTCTTGCCTTTTTTTTCTCCCCTCTCCTGCTTATTGATCTGGCCTTCCTGACAGAGACACAATATATGAAATCGGAAGGTTAGAGGAGATGGAAGAAAATGCAGGAACAAGCCCAACTCCTGCTCATGACTGATGTCTTGGCAATTTAATTCCCAAGTCTGTGCAAAAAGTAACCTTTGCAGATGGGCGAGTGTTGACAACCAGGCCATTTTTCTCCCGCTTCAGGTACAGAGTTATTCTGCAAGCAAGGTTAGCTCGTCTGAAGACTCAGAAGCTGATCAATACGCCGCCGTTTACACTGTGGGAGGGCCGCTACCGTCATTTATCTGAGTCGGAAAACGAAGCCACAAAGCTGGAGGCCCGGAGTTTGCTTAATCAACGACTGTGAGGTATGAGAGGGCCCGGGAATATGTGGACCTTGGCAGGCTAGCTTTCTTAGACACTTCCCTGGGCTTCAAACGCCTTCATCCCTCAATTTTTTTTCTCTTAAATTGGAAGAGGGGACAAAAGTTATCGTTATAATCATTGTTAAGTTTTTCTTTAAAATAAATACTTGGAAGCACACTTCTCTGCAAGAACCACAGAAATGGTGATGTGGCCCCGACGGCTGTGGGCTCCAGCGTCAAAGAGCCAGGCCCTTGCATCGGGGAGCCGGGGAAGGGCGCAGGGCCGGGAGAAAGGCCTTTTTGTATTCATCGCAGCCGCCAGGCAGAGCGGCAGCCCTCCACCGCCAGGTTTCCCTCCGCGCGGCGCGCCGCCGGCAAGCAAATTGGCTCCGGCCGTCGGACTGCGGGGGCGAGCCTAGTTGCGGCGGGAGCGGGAGCCTGGGGGCCGGGGGACCGTGGCCTTTCACGCCCCGGCTCTCTCCGGAGGGGCCGCGCGTCCCCAAAGCCCCGCCCACGGCCAGCCCCATCCACGGCACCCCCCGCCCCCCATCTTCCTCTGTCCCCTCCTCCCAGGTCTTCCTCCTTATTCCAATATCCTCCTCCCCGGCAGCCAAGGCCCGCCTCCTCCTGCTCCCTCTACGACCCC